TTATCAGGTGCGTCCTTAATAGGTTTAAAAGGTCTGTAAAAGGCAGCGTCCTGATGGTTTAGAAATTGGACTTTCTTTGCACTGGCTGGGGAATGAAGGTAAGAAGTAAAGGAGAGCTCTGAATCTGCTGAAATCCTTTCTCCTTCCACCTAAAAGTTAACCAAGTGTGGCCCCTCTGTTTCACTCCCTCCTAGGCCTGGCTATGGTCAGAAAAAAGAAGTCTACACATTTTCACCATAAAAAATGGTTGAACAAAATGTCTGCAGGATTAGAACCCTCATCTAACCCTAACCTTCACTAGAATTAGGAAAAAAAAAAAAAAGAGCTCTAATCACTAATCTCATATAGAAGTTATTAAAATAACATTATTGATTCTGTTGGGTGTGGTGGCTCAAGCCTGTAATCCCAGCACTTTGGGAGGCTGAGGCGGGCGGATCACAGGGTCACGAGATCCAGACCATCCTGGCTAACATGGTGAAACCCCATCTCTACTAAAAATGCACACACAAAATTAGGTGGGCTTGGTGGCGGGCGCCTGTAGTCCCAGCTACTAGGGAGGCTGAGGCAGGAGAATGGCTTGAACCCGGGAGGCAGAGCTTGCAGTGAGCTGCAATCGCATCACTGCACTCCAGCCTGGGCGACTGAGCAAGACTCCATCTCAAAAAAACTAAAAAAATTTTAAAAAAAGATTATCGATTCAAGACAGTTTGGTAAATGCTAATGAGGAGAGATAGAGAAACAATTGAATAAATTGGACAGAAGTAAGCATATCGGGCAGATATAAAGAATCATTGCACCAACACAGCACAATGGTAAAGGTTGAGAACAGGGACTCTGGTGCCATAGTACGTGGGTTCAAATTAAAGCTAGACCTCCTAAATCAGTGACCTTGACTTTATCTGTGTTGCAGTGCTCTCATCTCTACAGTGGGATGATAATAATACTTCCTTCATCAGGTTATCATGAGGACCAAATGAGCTAATAGATATGAAGTGCTTGCACACTGTGTGTGTATAATAGATAAAAGTAAACATCTTTTTATCAATCAAAATGATCCCCAAAAGTTGCATTGCCTAAACACAGTTTACAGCCTCAAAGATGTTATTATAAAATGACATGTAACAACAAGAATATAAACATTTTAAAGCCTACGTAAACATGTTGGCATGACTGAAAAGTCACATTCCCAATATCCTTTGTATTTGCCCAAATTCTTTGACTGCCTTCTATATTTTCCTCTTGAAATGGAGATGAAGGAATGATCAATAATAAAGGGAATAATAGTCTGAAACTCATTCTTTTTTATCTCCAAGTTCCTGATATAATCAGTTACAATTGGAGACCTCAAATTATTTATCGTTGTAAACCTTCAATCGTACACTCACAATTTATACATATTACAGTGATTCAAAATTGTACGCTTCAATTATTGAATAAAACACAAAGAAATGCCAAATTAAAAACAATATATCTCTTAAGTACTAGGTTTCAACAAAAGGTTTAGTGTCTGAATTCCTTTTCAACATCCTTTGAAAAAAAGGAGTATACAACAATATATAGCAATTTCTAAAAGACTCTCTTTCTCAGATCTATGAAAAGTAGCAGTCCACACTTCATCAACCACCTTCAGCAATGAGAAGGTGAACTTTTACTGCCAGAAGAAAAAAAATCTAATGATTATTTATTTCAAGACTTGGCAATAACTATTTTTTCTAAAGAAAAGGTTTCTAATGCTAGATTGATGCTTTGTATTAAAACAGTCACCCTATATAACACTTCAGAAATCAGATATACACTATAAAACCATTTTTAATTGATTTCTCTAACTCATATTTTAGGATCTCTGGTACCAAGTTAGTCCCGTAATTTTATAGTTCAAAGGCAAATTTCAGGAAATTATAATTAGCAATAATGGTATTTCCAGAATTCTCAAATTTATGGCACTATAAAATGATAATCCATCTGTAACAGTCAATAGTTATAGCTCCAGATTTCTCGATACTCTAATGCAATACTGATGTGACTTAGCGTATGGCAGAGTTGCCTTTACTTGAATCAGGCTCCTGTTCCTCACGTTGGTATTATAATAATTGTTACCATAGAAGGGGAGATCATTTAATTACTATTTTCTCTTTAAATTTATGTGCTGTCACTTTCTACTTGTATTTCAAGATCTCACTGTAATAGACATAATTATTACAACACTTGGAATATTATTCATTTTAATATTTACTGAGTGCTTGTTATATTCAAGGGATTGTGTTAAGCTTTTTAAAAATAATTTTTAAGTTGAGCAAAGTTAGGAACTGACAACTATTTAGATAAAGTTTTATATTTAGAAGTTGACATTTTAATTTAAATACCAAACATGATAACATATCATGAAAAAGGTTACACTGGCAAAAGGAAAATGAAGCAAATTTTACATGTGTTAGCTATTTGATAATTTTGGATGTAAATAGTTGCAAGTCATTATTGCTGAATTTATTGTTTTTAATGGTATTAGATGTAACTGCTCAAAATGTCTTAATTTTCTTGTTTCAACAAAGACTGGCAATATATTTTGATATATGAGATCTAGTGTGCAAGCTTCAACTTCGATTAAATACGGCAAGTTTACACAAAGCCAAGTGTATGAAAGGGGATCTTTTAAAAAAAACTTTATTTGAGAAAGGAAGAGACTTATAACAGAAGGCAAGAAGGGAAACATACAAACAATATATTTACAACACAAAACAAGAGATCACCTTCGAGGGTGTAAATTATAATAAATACAGTAGATTTTAAAAGAGACATTTATCAATTAATTCTAAGATTATTTAAGTCCAGCTTTCCTTTTCACTGGTTCCAGGTAGTTTCTTGATTAAATTCAAAGACTATCAAATTCAAACAATTAACGTCCACCAACTGTACTGATGAAACTCTCTCAAATGACATTATAAAAAATAGTTTTTTTGTTTGTGATTACATATCTTTGAAGTGATATTATACAAAAGTCTGCTCAGCCACATGTTCCTCCCCAAATAAAATGTATTTTAAAAGATGCACTATCCCTTTTTTATGAGATTGAAAAAAGATTTTGAAGAAAATGAATATTTATGAGATGGAAAAAATATACAATTTTATCTTAGGCATGCCATATTTTTAATGCAAAACAACTGACAAAAAGTCATTTTAATATGAAGGAATATACTAACCAAAATATGTTGGTGATAGGGAGTGTTCCTATTATAGCTATTTGTCAAATTATCAGAAGGACTTTCATTATATGGAAAAGTTTTAAACTTTCTAACTTCTAGTTATGTTAATTTAATTTGAATGGAGACTTTTTTAAAAAGGATAATGTATCTTTAGCAGTAACATTTTTAAAGAAATATTTTTAAATGTCACAGCAAAATGTAAACAACACGTGCCAATAACATACAGTTGAACAATGTCTACATTTGGCAAAACTGCTATATCTCCTTTGAAATAGGATACTACACCTTGAAATACCTCGGATTTAGAAATATAAATATTTTAATAGAAAAAAAACTCACAAAGATTCTAGGTCAATTTGGATTATCCATATTAAAGGGGTCTTAATACAACGAACCTTTAACTAGCTTAACAAACGTAAACCTATAAAACAAGGTAAACATATCAAAAGGGAATATGAAGGAAATGTTCCAGTGAAAAGCTTCCGTAACAATTTCCCTACTTGTGGTGTTATTTTCTTAGACAATAAATCAATTCATAGAGTGCCCTTTAAAAACAGAAAGAGTAAAACACTATCCTCAGATTTTTTTTCCTACATTCCTCAGTACATGAATCACTTGGACTTCCTGTTTTCACAAGGCATTTCCTGTTCAGCCTCACAGAATCACTTTTCTGTAGGAGAACAGCAGGAACCTGACAAAGAACTGACTTGAATAAACAGTGTCTTCTGTTGCCTTCAAACTTGTTTGTATTTTATAGCATCAAAGGACATAGTCCTCCTGAAGGTGCATTATGTACAAGTAAATTCTTTTGTTAAACCTGTCTTTTCCAATTGTTATTTGTCAGAATGTTATGGTATATGCCCATGACATTATGGAATTATATTTGAAATTCTAGTGACAATATAAAATATGATACACCTTCTTCTTTTCAAACTGATTTTGACTTGATATCAGATAATATTCATCCTGTTACTGTGTTTTTTGCAATTGTAGATATAATATTGTATCTGATTGGACCATTATGCTGCACATTACTTCTCACCAACATTCGCATCTGCTTCATTTGCTCTTTTTTGATAGACAGTGTCATCAAATTACACAAAATAAAAGTAAAATGAGCAGTGCTATGTGAGACATAATCTAATATTGAAAGTAGTGCTGCAATTTGCATCTATATATTTAAAACCACCTGTATTCCTAATATGTTCAATTGCAACCTACACAATAACCTAGGACTACTGGCATGGTGACCAGAACATTTCTACTTAACTAAAAAAAGAGAGAGGAAGGAAGGGGCAGACTACCTTTAACAGTGTTCAAGACTATAGTATGATACATTATGTACAGTGATGTGAAAATTGAATTCTACATGTTGCAAAAAAATCAAAAACTAATCGAATGCTTCATTGATCAGACTGGGAGACTATCCAGCAGTCACTGATCTCAACATATAAACTAAAAATAACAGTGAATTTGTTTTCCTTAGAAGTAATTGGTGTAGCCGGCTTTGGGATAAATTTAAAGCCTATCAATTGCTCAGATATTATATATCATAATTTTAGTGTAACAGATATTTCCTTACCAGTGGATTTTCAATGAAACCTTGGTATCTATATAGAGAGACCTCTGTATAGATATATACATATATCTGCATTAGTTAGAATCCTTAAACACTGAACTCAAATCATCGAGAAATATAAACTGATAGGAAATCATATCCATTTACCAAAACTGCAATGCATTTCATGTTCAGATAATGACTTTAATTACAAATCCTGGAGCTAAATCTTTGCCTATTACCTGTTGCATAAAAGCAGCCTGCTCCCCAGATTCCATTTCCTGGATCTGAGCATCTTCATCACTGTCCACTGGTTCCTCCTTGACCTTCACAGCCCCAACTTGTCCCAGTGTGTCATCCACACAAGCACTGCTGTCGCTCCTAGTGCTGTTGCCACTAGAGGGCGCTCTGTCTTCCTGCATCGCCTGGTCCCCCTGAAGCTCTTCCTCTGCCTCCTCAAGGTGACTGCCTGGTTGCTTCAGTTGTTCAATAGATTTCGAAAGCAGCTAGAAGAGAGTGTTCAGGGGTTCAAAATTCAGTAGTTCTTGATGGTAACAGAGAAGCAAATTACACTTTGATTTCTAATAACTTATACACTGTGATTTCTAATCATTGAACATAAATTGCAGAACGAACTTGTAGGCAACAAGTTTCCTCAGTAATACGAAATCTAAAGTAGTCCCATTATTCCATATTGTATGGGTCTAGTAGGGAGGGAATAAGGTCTTTAAGTGTTAGGTTGTTTTTTCTTTTTAATGGATCACTCTTTAATGCAGTTAGAACATGGTGTACAAAAGGTAAATAAATTATCCATGGGAAACTCTGAAACTTTCAAAAGGACAGGTTTTGAAAGTTGAACCTGGGAATAATACTTTTCTCAAAAGATAAAGGGGGTGATAAAAAATGTTGTCAATATCATTTTTCAATGAATGTTAAATGCTATAAAAGCCAGAACACAAATTCTAATAGTCTTTGTCTAATTTTCTCATACCTATACAGAGAAACTATAGTCAAATGAAAAAGCACCTTCTTATATATATTTGGAAGACACAGAAATATTCATTTTGATATTCTGAACTTTAGAAAGGTGTAAGATTTAAAAAAAATAAAATGTTTTACGAACAGACTCAAATGGAAATTAGGTATTAGAAAAGAATCAGGAAATTATTTTTTAATTTGAAAATCATTATTTAGACATTTTATTTTATAAATTAGATTGAACTTAGTTTTCAGAAGTCAATGAATTAATTGCTTAATGATTTTAAAATATAATTAACAATATGTCTAACTTGAACAATGGCAAAATACCATAACATGAAAGCTCAATAAATGGAGAAAAAGTCTCAAGATTATTTCATCTCACAATGGCCATTTGTTTTATTTCACAATGGCCCTGTGGACTAAATCATCTGTAGACCTTGAACTGTGTTTTCAAGAGTTGTTAGTTTTCTGCTAAGTCTGTGCCTATGTAAGCAACATGCCAATTATTGTAACTAGCAGCACACTTATAATACTACCACCATAAACATGAATGCAGATTTTTCTTTGTCAAATTCATGCTTACCTCCTACTCACACATAATTAAAAAATACATGTTTTAAAACGTGAATACTTAAGTACTCAGACTTAGATGGACACCTCATCCTCTTTAGGCTTATAGACTTTCCTGCAGTCCACACAACCTCAAATGGCCCTGATAACACTACCAAAGCCCTTTAGTTTCACTGCATGTAGATTTATTAGGAATTTTCATTCATTTGTTCAACAAATATTTACTGAGTGCCAACTATGTTCAAGACACCATGCTAAGCATTAGAAAAATAGCCACTGCTCTGCCCTCATGGAGCTTATAGTGAATGTCTTAGAAAGGCTTCAAATACTTATTCCTATTTTCAAGTATGATAAAATGCTTTGAAGAAAGAAATACAAGGTGTTATAAGAGCACATACTGCTTGGCATAGCAGTGGAAATGGGGATTGTCAAGGGAGTTAAGCTGAGGAAGTGTTATGTTTAGGTTTACACACAAAGGATGAAGGATGGAAAGGAGTTAGTTACATGTATGAGGGGTGGGAAGCAGGGGTGGAAATAAGGGTGGGGAGCATTTCTGGTAGAAGGCAGAGTTTGTGGGGACCTTGGATTGGAAAAGGAGACCAGCGCATCTAAGCCACCAAAAGGCTAGTGGAGTCTGAGAACAAATAGGAGGAAAATGCTGAAAGATAATGTTAAAGTGGATGATACAAGTTATAATACATTTGGGTGAAGAGTAAGAATCTAGAGAAATAAAATATAACTTAGGAAAAACACATATAAGGCCTAAATATCACCAAAGTAAGTCAGACATGATCAAGCTAAGAAAACATATACCAATCAAAACGCATATCACAATGAAGAAATTTGAATATGAATTTCCTTTGTGCCTATCATCTAACATCCATTGTTACTGGCCAGTCAGGAGAAGGAGGACACATTCATTTAATCATGGTTTAGATGACTTTAAGTATATTTTAGGAAACTATTTGCAGGACTTTTGTCCCAATTCTGAATACTAATCAGCTCCTCTTTAATATATAATACTTTGGATACTACTGAGATTCTGGATAAAAGAGACAATGTAATAGTCCTAAATTTTGACTACAAAGTTGTAGGATCCCATTTAATTGGCTGTTTAAGAAAGAATATGCAACAGCATAGAAACAAGCAAGATATTAAATAAAAATCCCTAGTTTTGGCTGGAATAAGGACACTGAGTAACAAACATCCACTCATTACTCAGAGAGAGAGGGGGAGAGAGACTATCAGTCAGTGTTGCAACCCTTACTCATACCTCAGACTACAAATAAGAGCAGGTGAGGGGAGCTTGTGGGAAAGAAGGGATTTATCTGAGAAAAGATATTAGCCAGGTGAAGGAGGCTGCAGGAGCCCATCAGAGAAACCAACTGTAAGAAGACTGGACAAATGCTCACTGAGCTGTAGAAGCTCTCCCTCTCACTAATACAGTATAGCTGAAAAGTTATTTGGAACCTGCTCGTAGAGCTAGTGGACCAATGACATTAAGGAGTCAAGTAGATACCGGAGAGGTGTTCAAAAGATCCTGCCAATAAGGGCCTCTTGAGGATACCAGAAGAACTTTATGGGATGTGTGGCTGTGGAATAGGAACTGAGTGCTGGATGAAAGGTTAGCCAGAGAGCCAGTATCCAGGAAATACCATGTCAGAAGTCCCTGCTTTCTGGGGGGTGGGGGGGACCATGACTTTGAACCCTAGCTAGCTTCTGGATATCTGACATTACAGGGAAATATTCAATAACTAAGAGGAAGCCACAAATATCACCCACCAAGTAAAAAGACTCTTCTGTTACGATTCTTCTCCTTCCTAATCCCTGGCCACAACATGGCCTCTCAGTGTCTCAACCTTTCAACCTCCAATGATCTAGTCCTCCACTCTACCTCATTCCCCAACATTATGACCTTACCTGAGACCTGATCTTTATCAGTAACCCTGTATTCCTCTAAATCTCAATATCAAACATCATTCCTTTCTTCTGGCTCTTTCTTAGAATATTCTGACACCAACCATTCCTCATTCCAGTGGGTTTTCCAAGCCACACTCTCACTACATATTGTCCCCTTCATTTGCTCACTTCCCTCCTTTCTGGACAAGATTCTATACTTCATTGAAAACCATTCCTTTATATTACCATCAGTGCTCCTGCCCCTTCAATATGGGTTTCACTGGACAAATAAGACTTCTAACCTTGGTCAATACTAAATCTCTGCCAAACCCAAGCAGCTGAATGAGCTAGGAAACAAATAAACAAATTACGATCATGCTGAGTGTTCTCCAAATTCATGACTACACCCTCCAATGGAGTCTCAGTGCTGCCTGGCAACCCTATTCTACTTTTCTAGTTAATTTACTCTCACTGTCTTATACTACCTCCTCTCCCTTCAAATCTCTAACATTCCCCTCTTTTCTTCACTCCCTGCTGATACCTTTGCTTCTCATTTCATTGAGAAAATGGAAGCATCAGAAGAGAAACTCAGCCTGCTGCTACTAGCACATTTATTAAGCAATCCCATCCACCCCTCCTGCTGTTGCAATGAATGAAATGTCTGCTCTTCTATCTCAGTCAATCCCTTGGCTTACACCCTGGATCCCTTCCACTCCTGCAATTATCCACTGTGTCCTCCATCACACATATCCCCTCTCTGCCGGAATGCTCTCACTAGTACTCTTTCAGCAGTATCATCTATCTTAAATAAAACTTTCCTTGACCTCCTCCCCAACCCACACCATTACATACCTCCCTTCACAATAAAATGCCATGAGTTATCGCTCTTCACTGTCTTCATTTCTCTTTTCCCATCCTCTTTAGAATCCAGCCAACTAGACTTTCCTCCACATTATTTAACCAAAATCTCTTGTTAAGGTCAATAATGACTGCAATGATGCCAAACCCAATGGCCATTTAAATGTAATATTAATAGGTGGCAGCAAAAGTGAAGCATTTTAGAAAGGGAAATAAGACAAAAATCGTAGCATTTTTGAAAATAAGAGACTGTTATTACCATTGCAGCCAAAGACCAGACAAACTGAGTGTTAATTTACTAGAATATAATTTCCCATAGTTAGCAAGTTAAAGAAAATCTCTAATATTAAAAAACCCCTGAGTTTTCATGGAACATAGCATATGTACATTTTAACAGAAGACCTTCTGAAATCTGACCTGTGAAGTCATTGAAGTATCCAGAAATCACATTGTTCAGTCTATTAATCAAATCTGGTCAGTATTTACAACCTCACTGACACAGATATGCATATGACAGTTTATATAACAATTTTCGGCATGCAATATAGAAACAATTCTATTTGTTCCGGTCAGTTTCTTTGGCTTCATCTACACTTCTGATGTACCAAAGGAAACATGGGGAAGAAAAAAGCCAGAATGAATAACGTTGTGATCACTTGGCAAGAAGACCAAACAGTGAAATGATATTTTTCCAAGAGCAGAATTCCTTCATGGTTTGTAAAAGAAATGTTTCTTGACATAAAACAGTAACTTCTGAGTAGAAAACATATAGATATGAAATGCTGCAGTTGAAAATCTTCTAATAACATTCTTAAAAACCCTGATTTTTTAAAGAAGGAATCTTATGCCCAAAAAAGACAAGTCATCTCTAAGATTGTAAAATAAGAATTTGTGATTTAAAAAGAGAAGAGTAGAAACCTAGAACTTTTTACACCATTCTACTCCACATTTTGCTCTGAAATAGCTATATATTCTGATGACAACTGGATTAATAGAAGCAATTCCAATCTCTCCCCTGAGCTCCAAACTTGCATAGTTAGCTGTTAACTTCTTTTCTTAGAGCTAGAATATCTAATAGACATCATAAACATTAAATACCTCAAAGATAACCTTTATTCCCATCTAACCCAATTATATTGATCACCCAATCTTTCTCATTTGAGTAAACAGCTTTACCCAACTGCATGAGCCAAATATT